TCTAATTTAGTATTTTAGGTAATTATTAATTTATGAAATTGTGGTTTACATAGGAGATTATTGAAACATTATAAATCAGTCTTTTTTTTAAAAAAAAAATGGTCCTAAGTTGGTACACGGAGAAAAATATTATTTAATAGAGATTAGTAATTAATATAAGATTAATTTTGGAAGGTTTTACTGCACTAATTAATATAAATATTTATTCTTTATTTTTATTGAATCATGATCAAAATTCATGTCTGAATAATTACCTTAATTAGCATAAATACCATATTACACGATATAATAATAGAGGATGGTAAATAATGTTTCCAATAAATAAATCATATTATAAATTTAATTTAACTTACAGTTATTTTTTACACTTTAATGAAAGACCAATCTAATTATTACACGTGGCACAATAACCTAAAATCACTTTCACTTTAATATATATATATATATATATACTAGATGCCTGGCCCGGGCAGAAGCCCGGGCGTCGCTAATGTTAAAAAAATATTGTTACAAAAATATAAAATTATAAAATAATTAGTAATAAATTTTGTAAGATTCGATTCAAAAGATTTACAATTAAAGTTGATTAATAATGCAGAAGGAATTCAAAAGTTACGTGAATGATAACAGTAATTGAAAATTGATCGGTTAAAAACTCGAAAATTGTTTGTGGTAAATTTTAATAATAATAATAATAATAATATTTCATTTATGTGGGTAAAAAGTAAATTTATCAAACTCTGAAGGTAGTAAGGGTAAATAATTTCTTTATGTTGAGGCAAAAATAAAAACAGGAAACTCAGAGGCTTAGATGCGTAAATATTTTTTATGTTTAAAAAGTAAATAAAAAACGGGAATCATTTGCTTCATTTTGGTCTTTGGTCATATCGAACAGATCTGGAATCTTCACCCCAAAAAGTTTTTTTTTAAAAAAAGTGCACCGGCCTTTTGGTCTTTGCATCTCAGATTCGATATCAAATTTTTCCAAGTTTCGATTTTGAATCTCATTTGGTTTGCATTTTGTAAGCAATCCAAGATTTTCGAGCACTATATTCATATCTTAGATTCAGTTAAAAAAGACAGTCAGAAGTAGATTGATTAAACTTGTAGCTCGCCCTTTTTTTACAGGAATCATTCTGTCCTAAAAGGCCGGGAATCATTTTCTTCGGTTTGGTGTTTGTTCATATGGAACAGATCTGGAATGATCACCATAATGCAGTTTTTTTTAGAAAGTCTACCAGCCTTTTGGTCTTTCGATCTCATATTCGGTGTCAAATTTTTCAAAGTATCGATGAGAATCTCATTTGGTTGACGTTTTGTAATCAATCTAAGATTCATCGAGCACTATGTGGTCAATTTATGGTAGGTTTGATGATGTTTTATAGGCTTATTATTTGGTATATTTGAAAATTTGTGTTTTATGGTTCCATTAAGGCTTTTATACTTGTTTTGTTTAATATACAACGATGTTCAAAATTACTTCAAAAAAGCTACCTAATTTATACGCTCATGGATAACAAAATATCTTGTCCAAAATGGGTTTGCTGTCTTTTTCAGGCAAGACTCCAAAGGGAGCTCACACAGAACCCGGGTCAAGTAAAAGGGAAAGTTTCTTATTTCATATTCATTTTCTTCCTTCTGTAGCTTATTCATCTGATTTCCAGGTGAATACTCATTTGGTTCTCATCAGAGTTCAAGTAATAAACATTGGTTTCCGGTTACATTACACATCAATACGATATGGATGTTTTTTTTTAACAGTTCATCTTCTATTTCCATTTACCCTCAATTTGTGGTCCAGTGAACTTCCCAATCGAATGTTTTTGAATAAGAAATAGTTTAGATCTGAATACATTCAATTTCGGATTTAGACGATTTCAATAGATCTACATTCATTTTGAATTTGGATTGAATGTTCGATCCAATATATAAATTAGGAGATTTCAGTCATCTGCTTTCAGATTGGGTTCTATGCGAGAGGGAGTTTTTTTTCTGGAAAGTAGGCGTCTGTTAAAGGTATGATGTTCGAGATTCAAAGCAGATTTGTATGAATCAATGACTTTATCAGTTCTAATGATTCTAGGTCAATCCATTGTTTTATCATATAGATAAGGATTTAGAAATGAAAATATTTTGAACTTTGTTCTTGATTTTTGCAGGAGGAGAATTTCAGATCTGATATATACTTGAAAGTTTGAAATGGGGATAAATGTTTGACTAACAGGATGAAACCGACAAAATTCTGGACTCTATTAAACGTAACTCTAAAATTATCTCATTAGATACATTTACACACCTGTTTATATAATTTGTATACCATTTCAATTGTATGTATTGAACTTGATTGAATAGTTCCCGGTTATGAGGTTTGGAATGTAATTATAAAATTTACATATATTTGTACAGGATTAAATTTGAAATGGATGCAAACCACTGATCTGCATTAGGTATAAGTAGTCTGCATGAGATGTATGGAATTTACTTTTTAATAGTAGCTGATGTATGTTGATTAACACAGTTGTGTAATTGTAAACTAATTACACTATCTTACATTCTTGAGAGCTTCCTTATAAACTACATTAGTTGTACTGTTGGACCGAGTTCCATCAGGGTTACAAATCAAAACTTTCAAACCTTTCTTAGAAGTTACTCGTGAGAGTGCTACGTATAGCTGTCCGTGACTAAAAACAGGTCTTGGTAGGTAGAGGCCGACTGTAGAAAGAGACTGACCTTGACTTTTATTAATAGTCATAGCGAAACAGACCGCTATAGGAAACTGTCTTCTCTTCATTTTGAATGGAATAGTGTTGTCAGTTGGAATAATTTTCATCCGTGGAATAGGCACAATATCACCAATGTTGCTTCCAGAAATTACTCTACCTTCAATGATGTAACGCCCCATTCGTGTAATCTGTAACCTTGTCCCGTTGCAAAGACCATTTCTTTGATCAACATTACGGAGTAATATGACTAGAACATTTACTTTCAAAACCAATCTATGATTAGGAAGTCCAGAGACTTTAACACTGTTTAAAAATTCAGGTGTATAAATACCTTGATCCGATTCAGTTCCATGTTCTGAATTACACATACTGTCTGAACTCAGATACTCGTTTTCTTCCCCAGGTAATAATCCTATCATGTATTCATTAACACTGTCAACCACTTCATAGGTTAGTCCTAATATTGCTCTCTCCCGTAACCATGATGCGTCATTTAGACCAATCTAAATAATGTTTCCAATAAATAAATCATATTATAAATTTAATTTAACATAAAGTTATTTTTTACACTTTAATGAAAGACCAATCTAATTATTACACGTGGCACAATAACCTAAAATCACTTTCACTTTAATATATATATATATATATAGAGAGAGAGAGAGAGAAAAGATACATGGCGAAAAAAGATTGTGGAGAAAATAACACTTATAAAATAATTCTAACATTTATTTCAACACATATATTCGTTAAGTCTATTTATATTTAATAAGTAATACTTATAAAATAATTCTAAAACATACATGGTGAAATACAATTTCTTTTTTTGTGAAATACAAATATTTCTATGATTACACTTATAAAATATTTCTAAAATACATCGCGTCAAATACAAAATTTTGTTTTTTTTTTTTTAAATATAAACATTTCTAAGATCTACAGATAGACTGGGACAGGGTCGCATATTGCACGACCAGACATCACTAGTATAGAGATAGAGAGAGATTATCTAAAGAAATACTTATATCTACTCGATAGTTGGTAAATACAATATAAACTAGGATAATGATTAGTACATGAAAAAATTTCACTAAAAAATAACAATAATCGATTATAATCACTCATTTTTTATGCTTTTTATTTGTGGTTTAAACATCTAAGTTTAGAGAATAGTTTTGATCATTGACACATAATTCTTTGTAAGTTTTCCTTGCGTTCACTATTCATTTTTTATACTTTTAAGTTGAGGATTTAAACATGGTTGTTTGCTTGTAAAAATCTTTATGTGTTTGCTCAATCCGCATATTATTCCAACATTGTGTATAATTTTTAATTTACTCAAATCAAACAATAAGTTCCTTCACGAGTTAGGTCAATGATTTTGCTTTTAACGAATGGATGTTGAGCCATTTCATCATCTTTGCCCCAAAGAACACAAGTAGAATAATTTTTCAACATAGTATTTCTTTTTATATTTATTGTCAACGATAATCCTATTTAGAAAACCTACGAGATCAAGATATCATATACTTTTCAAATTTTCCTCCAACCTACAAACCTTCTATCACCAAATTTGAGTGTATACTTGTTGGGATTCTTACAACCTCAATAATCATTTGGTACTAGAAATTTACTCTCACACACAAATAGTAAATAACTAAGTAAGACATCACGAGAATTACGTGATTCAATTTTTCAATAGATATACGTCCACATGCACGACACAATCTCACTAATATAGGAACTAAAGAGATTACAATAATACTTTTTTCTCCCAACTCTTAATTTTAGACCTACATTCTCCTACCGTATTATGTCTCAACCCCTTTTAACTCTAGAACAAAATACATTTTACACTAAAAAGTATTAACCTTATTGGGCTCCCTACTCATCCACTTCAAAATGGGCTTGGGTTTAGAGGCGTTAATACAACAATACTATAACATTGACAAGTTAAATTTATTCATTTGTCCCAATTTACTAAAGACACTTTTTTCTGAATTGAAAATTACACAACAAAGTGGAGTATTAATTAAATATTTGAATGGATTAAGGAGTAAAACACAAAAAATGAGGGACTGATTAGAAATAATTTTCACAATGGGGATTGAAGTGAAATACGGTCTAAAAGTTAAAAGAGAGTAATGATCAGATTATCCATTCATCACCCGATTAACTAAAAAATTTGCAATTGCAACTCCCGCCAGGGCTTCATCTTCTACTCCCGGGGAGAAGCACCCAAAAAGGAGCTTCTGTGATTCAAGAAATCATCAAGCTATGGTGTGGGGTCTCTTTCGAGTCGACCCACTTCCAGGTTTTGATTTTCCCTAAGTCTTTTTTTTTTTTTTTCTGTCCAAAGTAATTATTTTTTTCAGCATACCAGTTGTGTTGCAGAAGTTGGGTGATGGTATACCGTTTAATCGGGTGATTCGGTCTATTTGTAAGCTTTAGTTAGGATCGTCTAGAAGAGATTCTTGGTTACATTTCCCCGATGATTGATTTTGTGAAGCACCTTCTAGGCTAGGATCACCTATAATTACTGCCCTCTTAGGCTTTTTGCCCATCTCCATTTTTCAAGAAGAAAGAGCAACAAAGTCAGAACTTCTGTGTCGGGGGTTGAGACTGCTATTGAGTTTTTAATTGTGGCTATTTTTCACTCATTTGGAATTCTGAACTGAATTTCAAGTAATAACTTTTACCAATTGTCAGTTATCATCCTGCCTTTTGATGATTTAATAGTTGCACATTCTAGAAAATAAGAAGTTTTTCTTACACCGTTACACTATACTCCTGTTACAGGCGAAGAGAGATATTACTTTTTCAGTAAAGGGACTTACAAAGTGGGTCGAAGAGGTATTATTAACCTTTTTATTTTATTTTATTTTATTTTTTGCTTTTTCCCAAACTCTGCGTTGTACTCCTATTCAAGCAAATTAAAGTCATTTTTCTTTTGTAGGATGTGATATTACCATTAATAAAGATAAAGGTGTCTCGAGGATACACGCAGAGATTTTGATAGACGAAATGGTTTGCCTGGATAACCCACGATCGCAATCTTCCAAAGTTAGGGTACGGGACTGCTCCAAGTATGGAACATTCGTCAAGAAGAATCAGGGCTCCAAGGAAAAGGTTCATGAGTTTCCGAACAAAGAAACAGTACTAAGTGATGGCGACATGGTTTCATTTGGCACAGGAAATGCAACCTACAGGTAATCCAAATAGATTTTTCTTTTGCTGTCTTCTCTTTCATCGAGCAAAAAACTTCACTACTTGCGGAGTTGAGGTGTAAATGTCTGTTGTATCATACCGCTGCTACTTTAGTACTTCCGCATAGCAGTAACATTATTTATCTTTGGATTACTTGCACTAGTAGAAGAATTTAAAGCTTCTATTAGTATGTCAGGTTGAATGGTTGATGACATTTTAATTTCCGGCAGGTTTTCTTTTGTTCCAATTGTGTTTTTCTATTGCTGTTCAAAGGCCATCCTAAAACCCCTTCAAGAGCAGATATTATCAATAGGTTTGTACCTTCGGACTTACTAAATGTGCTGAAATCCTGTATGCGACTAAAGCATATTTCCTTGTATTTTTTATAGTGTACTTCTATTAATTTGTTTTTTCTCATTATGTTTCTAAACATTTATTTTCCGATGTGAGATGTGATCAAGAAAAGAAGTATAAGATGACTACCTTTGGACTATTTTCTTCATGAATCCTGATTATGCAGAAAATGTTTCATGGCACCTACTTTCATTTGAGACTTGAAGATTAATTACTTATAAACTACATGGTATCTGTTCATAACTTCAGGTATAGGGTAAAATCTTTCTGTTTAAGTCAGTGTTCATAACTTCAGGTATATGGTAAGTTTCGAGGAAAATGCAGAGCCAAAACTCTAAAAATATCAAAAGAATATGGAGAACATTTATCATCATTTTAGATAGGATTTGTGGGGTGGTGCTACAACAAAGAGGATATAGATGATGAGGAGAAGTAGAACCGAGTTGATATGAAGAAGGGGGATTGGTTTTATGTCACTTCACATCGTAGTTAAGTGTCTCGACTGTTATTCAAATTGTGGAGTCTCATCAACTATTTGATACCTTCTCAAGTCCTTGAATCCCACAGGAATGGCCAACAAAGAATGATGATATTCTCAGTGAAACCATTCTGTCAAAAGATAATCACTCCTGTTATATCGCACTTCTCAAGAAATGTGATTGGTTTTCTGTCTGCTTATTAAGCCAATGTCCATCTACTGTGAAAGTATAATGTTAACAACATGCAAATTACATTTCAATCCCATGTTAATCAGATTACTTCGTGTGCCGTTGGGATAGGTGCTTCTATTTGTCAAAAGTGGAGTTTGAACTGCACGCATGTGCTGGTTGATGGCTCAGTTTCTTTGAAGGAAGAGTTAATTGATGCCATTGCAGCTAAAAGACCTTTCATTTCCCGTGAGTGGGTCGAGGTATATTGTACATACATTTGAATTCTCTACTGATATACCTATTTCAATGATACGTCCTAAAGGTGCTATGGTTATGGTTTTATTGTCATTGGGTGGTGGAGTTTGAGTTTCAATTAATTCCTTTTCATTGATATTGGTGCTTGTTAGAAAGCATTATTGTTTACCCTTGGTTTGCCATAGTATACCATATTCTAATAAAGAGCAGTATGCATTTTACAAAGTGCTGTGGGAAATGCTTGGACTATTCGTAATTCTGATATTCCTTAGTTTACTTGCTTTTTTGACTTTGATGGACATTAGTTTGTACAGTGATGGGTGAATGACATGATAATAGCATTTTAACAGTTGTGTTGATGAATGGTTTTTTGCAGTTTATTGCAGGACAAACCATTTGCACTGAAATACCGAGCTGTGCCTCGTAAGTAAATGCTTTGCTGGCCTCATTTTCCACTACCGATTTTAGTTTGCGGAGCTATAAAAGCTTGGCTTTCAGTAACTAGCATAATGAACAATGTATTTGTTACACAGTTATGCTCCAACCTTGTTACTCGAAGAAGTATCGGTCAAAGTTGCTGACCCTCAATCTCGGGGGAATTGTTTGAATGAATACACTTTTCTGCTGGAGTCGGAAGACAAGGTCCTACCTATTGTTCAATCTTTTTCTTACAGTTTTGACTTGTGTTTCCTTTTTATCGGCATAAATATTGTAGAACTAGTTAAGGAAGAATTTGTAGTTCCCGTTGTGTTCTCATCGTTCAAATAAGTGACATAATTCCAAGTTCGTTTAGCATATTTAGACATCAGATCAGGCAGACCACGATCACTAATTAGTTAATCTAATCGAATGAATGTGCATTCAAATGGATATCAAAATGCACATCCATGCTCGTATATGTGGCAGAGTAGAGGGTAAAAAGAATTGTGTACAGCAGAGGGTTTTCTATTTTCTTTCCCCCCTGCTAGATTGGAACTTGCAATCATAAGATGTTTTACTCAACATATAGTGTTGCTACAACCTACAATGCCTCTAGCAGACGCTGTTGTGTGACTGAAATGTTAAAATTTTTTGGTTAGCTAACTGTCCTTTCATCTTTCTCTGAATCGATCTGCTTCATGTTTTGTCTCTTGACAGTATAAACTCAAGGAGAGATTGCAGTGTTTGTTGGAACTTTGTGGTGGAAAAGTTGTTTCTTTAGAAGCTTTCTGCCTGGATAGCAGCCAGGTTATTCCTTCACACTCGTGAAATTGTGTGTTATTTCATTTATTAGCAGTCTTCGTTGGCCACGCTTTTGAGTTTTCTTGTAAAATATCAGGCCATTATTATATTTGTAGTAGAACTAATACTTATGTCGAAGCTATCAGTACTTTTTCGGCTGATTATTCTTTTCATTTCAAAATGGTAAATGATCACTTATTTATGTTATCATCTTAGAACTTTTTAATGTTATACATTGTCTAATTACTGAAGCTTTATGTGCTGTTGGCAGGTTTTAGAGGATGAAGGAACCAAAAATGTAGTCTGGGTGATTCCTACTGGATCAACTGCCAATCCAAAGTACTCCCATAACACTAAATCCCTGCCTAATGTAAAGGAGATGGAGTTGCTTTCTTCCATAATATCTGGATATCTAGATCCTTCAATTATTCTATTACCTCCTGGTAAGCACTGTCCCAATTATAATTTGCATGGTATTAATTTCAAACGTTTTCATTATCTATCCTGCATGGAAAATTCAAGCTTTTTTAGTTCCCAGCTTATCTTTGCAATTTGCATAGTTGTCCTTCTTGAGGAAGTTGATTCAGAGTTAACATTACCACCGAAGAATTAGTGCTAGCAAAAGACCTATTCAACTTCTTGTTAGTAGAAGAATCCTTTAAGAAATTTGTCATGTCATTTGACTGTAATCTGATTCAAATGGAAGTAATAAAGAAATTTTTATTTCCTGTCAGGGTCGGACCATGGCAATTCTCATTGTAGAGCAAAAGATTTGTTGAGAATCTTATCTTTTTGTTTGGTCAGCTCAAATAAATTTGATGTTTTTGTCAGTATTTTAACTCTTGCCGGACTTCTTTATGTTGGACTACAGCTGCGAAAATGGTTTTCTGGTAAAATTAGGTGCACGGTTTTGGTAGAATAAGAAGTGGCTTCTTGAGTAACTTCTTAATGGTTGTACATCATCTGACATTTGTTCGTTCTTGCTCCCTGACAAAGGGAGAAATCCTAGAACTGTTTGCTAAAGTTTTCCAGTAGATTGAAAGTAAAGTAGACAACCCTACATATGCTAGATGGCAGTTAATCTTGCTTGGTTTCTTGGTCGCTGCAGAAAGAAAAATTCCGTGAGACACAGTCACGAGGCAGTGGATGAGTGGAGGCAGCTTTTCTTTTTAATGTAGCTCCAGTAATCTTATCTCTGGTTAGCATGTGTATTTCTTTGTGGGGATCTTGAGTAACTGGTTGTTGACCTTTTGCATTATGATAGTAGGATTTAAGCCATTAAAAGGTCACAGTGTGCTTCATACTCTTTGGTTCCCCTATTTTGCAGTTCTTGTCACATCTTCATGCTCTACGGATGAAACAATTGTGGCAGATTCTGATGCAGAAACAGAAACTGCCACATCAGTGCAGACTTCTCCTGCAGTCTATACAGCGGGATCCTCTGACCTTGAACATAAAGAAACTGTCCATTTACTAGATTCTGTTAAACAGGATAGTGTCGAAGAAATAGCAATGCACGTGATACACTCCCCTGAAACAGATAGAACTGAAGATAAAACATTTGTTGGTGTGAGCATTTGTGAGGCGAAGATTAAAGAGGAGATACCAGGTAGTAATTCCACTGTTAACTGGTCCAATGTTAGTTCCTTGAAAGGCTTGAAGAGCAGAGACGGAACTGCCGGATCAAGAGTAGAAAAAATTGAAGCACCAGAATGTGATAATATGGATATCATATACAGTCAAGATCTTATTGTGAAAGATTCTGTAGTGCCATCATCCCCTTCTCCTGAAAATGATCCTGTCATAAATTTCAAACGATTTCGGAAGGTAATAGTTCTTATTTTGAGTTTTGTCGATGATTGCTAATTAGAAATGAGGAGGTTGTCTACATCTCACCGTGAATTTTACAGTCTGATAAGAGATTTTGAACAGAATTTAACATTGATGGATTTGTAACAAGCTGCCATTCTTTTCTTTCTTTTTTGTTCTTTTTTTTTTTTTTCCTTTCCCCTGGAATAACTGCCATTCTTATAATACTGAGGTAGGTAGTACTGTTGGGTTATCCACACTTGTGCAGGAATAGATAATGTAACTAATAAATTTAATAGCTGAAGTTCAGCTTTTATCTGGTCAGCACTATTTTGAAAAGTGTATTATGGAATTTTCTGCATGCCTGTGGTCTCTCAGATATAGGTTGTCTTTCCAGTTCATCATTGTCTCTTGCTCTACCTCTCTCTTTAACCATGATGTAATTTTCAGATGGGAACTCCTTCAGGAAACAGCTTCGACAATCTCATCCCATATTCCAAGGATCCTTACAAGTATGATTACGTTCAGTTAAATTGCTGTTGCTTCAATCGTTTTGTTTTTCTTGCTTCTATAATTCGACAGTTTGCTTCATATCGTGATTTCTTCTGCTGATAGGGAATCCGACTATGGAAATGAAGAAGTAGCCCAATCCTTCAAAGAAGAGAAAAAGAGAAAACAAATGGAGGCCATGGCAGATGACTTATTCAATCACTACGGGTATGTGATGTAAATCCTAACATAGCTTGGTTGCCGTGCTCTCTTTGAAATATTAACTGCAACGTTTTTCAATGTTCCAGGGAGAAAGCGGGCTGCTGCAGGTTCTCGCAAAGGAGTTTCTGCTCGTGGTTAGCTTAACCCCAGAGTACTTCTCTGCTTTTGCATGTACAAAGTAAGCAAGTAGCAGAGATCATCAGTGATAACTATCAGGTAATTTTGGCCATTGGGTTTGAACCTTGATAGCAGTCCTTATTGTGCTAAACATCTGCGTCTGTTATAGCTCAGAAGATGTTATAGTGCCTGTCTGTTGTATCTTCTGCGCCAGAAGCTAAAAGAATCCTGCTTGTTATTTGACATTAGCGATTAGTCTCCAACCAAAAACTTTTCTGTTGTGGGTTTTCCTCAACTTCTTAGTCCAGTGGCATGAAAAGATAATGAAAGAAAGCAATTTCGTTGTTGAGTAAGAAGTGCTAGCAGTTCAGGCCTCATGAGGGTTCTAGTTCTAATTGAGAGTGGCATTCACCAAAGTGATAGCAGAACATGTTACTTTTTCTTTCACCAGTATGAAATATCGAAAAGTCAAATTCACGCAAACCAGATTATTTTTTTTTTTTTTTAAAAAAAAAACTCGAAACAAATAAGGAATATGATCACTACTCATTTCTTTCTTTTCTCACCTGTCTGTTCAGGTCGATACTCTAATTGACTAATGAATTTTCCACGGCGAGATGATTAAAAAAATGTTCATGTACAAGAGAATTTGAACGTGAGTATTATACATTGTAATCCTTCAGTTACAATGTTGGTGAACAATGTTGGTAAATTCAGTCTGTTTGTAACAAATTCAGTCAAATTCGGTCCCGCTAACTCAAGAACAAATGAAGATAGGTAATCAAAAGAAAATACAAAGAAACGTTCTCTATTAAGTGTACAATATTAATTGGATTGGTTGCACTAGCTACTTAGTGATTTAATGGAAGCTGGACTACAATCCTCCTTCATTGGTTTGAAATTCCAAATGGTACAAAGAATGCAAAATTCTATCACCAATCGAATTTTGGAAACCGAGTGCTGTAGTATTTATGAGTTTAAACTTGGCGTCATGACTTGATAAAGCAAAGATCCAAATTTTCAAAAATATACTCCCTTGTCCCAAAATTATTGTCCTGTTTGAGATTTCACTTTTAGTACAATTTGAACTAGAAATGAAAATCCAAACTGGACAATAATTATGGGACGGAGGGAGTAGTTAAAATATAGTCAATTTTGTGAGATATTTGAAGGGAAACCCGAGTCAAAATCTTTTAGGCTCTGTTCGTTTGCTTGGCATTAGGGGTTTGGAATTGGAATTTAAGCTCCCAATGCTAAATCCGGTGTTCAGCTGCTAAAAAGTCGTCTGGAATTAGCAGTAATCCAATGTCAAAGGGTCTCCAATGTCATGATTTGTCATTTGTATCTTAACTTCTAGATTATAAAAAAAAGAATTAAAAAAAATATAGAAAATTCAAATTGAAGTAAATGTGAAAATTAATAATTAGATGATTAAATCGAATTGAAAATAATTAAATAACCTAGGAGAAACAACTTGTCTTAGATAATTTTTTAATTTTTCTTTTTCTGGTTTAAAATGATAAACTATTAATTTGATGTTTATTTCTACTTGAATTCTTCTTCTTCATTTTTCTAATTCTTTTTTTAAATTTATAATCTAGAAGTTAAAATGTAAAAGTTAAATTAATTTTTAAAATTTAAAAATTAAACTACCAGCATATAAAAGTTAGGAAGTATAAGAAGAAGAATTGTAAAAAAATAAAATAAAATAAAATAAAATAAGTTTTTTCAAAAAAATAAAAATTTAAAACCAATAAAATGACAAAAATACCCGTAAACCCAAAAGCATGTGAAAAATGAATTTCCGTCATCATTTAACGTCCAAAATTAGCAGAATGATTTTGGATGAATTTTTTGCTTAGTATGGTGACATGTTTTACGAATAAATTTGATTGATGACACATATTGGCATTACCAAATAATTCAATAACATGTTTTGTGGTTCTATATATATATATATATATATATATATATATATATATATATATATATATATATATAGACACATACACATTTGAGATCACTATTGAGTTCACTTGAAGATTTGGAATAGTGGTAATTATTAACTAAGATTCCTAGAAGGCTATCATTAATAAATTTTTCTTTATCATTGTTGTTATTTTTTAAAATAAATTCACATTTTATTGATTAGAGTTCAGAGGCCATTAATTATATGTTTTTTAAGTTGGACAAGTTTACCAAATATTGAGTTGTATAAACAATTCTATAAATCTATTTTTGGTAACCGCTAATCATTAAGTTGTGTTGGTTTGTAATTATTAAATTTTAATCTCCAATAGTTTATAGTTACTTTTACATTCATTAAACTCTTTTGAAAATAGAAGTCTTCAAAACTACCAGGTGTTAAAGAATAGATTTATGGTTCTACCATTTTTTAAACGATACATTGTAATCAAACGCATATCAATTCTCAGATACCATTTCATTCATTTATTGTTTATCCTCAAGAATGAATAAAAACTCGAAGTATGATAGTTCATCCTGATCTAAAGAAGAGAACAAGACATTTGAAAATGCATTTGCAACTTAGTCTAGCAATACAAATATGCTAGTGAAGATTATTGTTGCAGTTTATAGAAATACAATTACTTAAGTCAAATCGTATCTTGATATTTTAATGTCAGATATAACTGCAATTGAATCTGGTCACGTGCCATTTTTGGATTATGATGAGTCTATTCATAAAGGAGAAGGTCTAGCCTAATGTCAGAAGAATCAAAGTAGAGCTAAACCTTGGATGGAAGATAAGAACAAGTGTGCTTTGTTTATCATTTGAACTTTATATAAATGTGTGTTATATTTTTTTTTTCTAAAAAATGTTTTAGTTGTTTTGTTGACTATCGGTTGCCTGATATTGCATTATTTATCCGTTTTATTTTTCTCAATATTACCACAAGCAGTTCAAGCAACATCTTAGTAGAAATGACACTTTTGTAAAATATTATTTTTGAAATTCATTGCACCGCTTGTATCAGAAGAAGTAAATAACACGTCAGATACGAGACAGAATATATTTCGGCGTAAAATCAGATTCTCTTTCTCTTTCCAAAGAAAAGAAGAGAATTTGCGATAGAAGACTCTGCCCCTGAAAGTTCTAATCCTTAATCTCATCTGGGCTACTTCTTGTTCTTTTCAGCAAATTTTATAATTTATTTTCTATATTTTTTCATTAAATTTCTGAGACCTCCCAATACTAATACCTCAGTACTCCACAATGTACCATAATTCAGAATTCCAATTCCTCCAAATGATAGTTTAGGGTTTTGAGTGAGATTGTCAATTCGTCTCTCGCATATGAGTTCTTTTTATCTTCATCTCTCAATGGTGTTTCACGTAACAACTGAGGTTGAAGCTTCCATTTTCTGTATTTAAGGTATGTTTTGTTTATAAAGTGTTTTGAGGTGTGAGATATGGAAGTTGAATTTGGTTGGAGTTTTTTTTTTTTTTTTTTTCATGCTATCATTATTAAATTTCTCTTTATTGTTGTTGTTGTTATTTTTGTATATAAATTTATATTTTATTTATTATAGTTTAGATAGTATTAATTTGATTTTTTTTTGTTTGAACAATTTTACCAAATATCGAGTTCTATAAAAGATTCTGAAAATCTACTTTTGGTAACTGCTAATCATAATACTACGTCAGTTTCTGGTTATTGAATTTCAATCTGTCAACCAATGTTGTAAAAATTGGAACGTTTTAACCGAGAAACGGTTGTATTGTTAGTCCAATTTATGCTCGCTGCTTAAAAACTGGTCAAAACCCGGTCAAACTCGCAATTCGACCGGGATCCAGACTGAACATGTTGACCCCGATTTTATCCTCCTTCTTTTTTATCGACTTTTTTTTTTTTTAAAAAAAAAAAACTCATTGTAGCCCATTTTCTTTGTTTCTTGCTAAATTGACTCCTAATTTAAGTTTTATAGTTTTTTGAGACCCTAATTTTGATCTTATTCAATAATTATCAAAATCATAATATAAAATACATTATTTTTTGAATAATATTACCTTAAAATTAATTAAATTAAATATTACAACTCTAAAAATATTTATTTAAGTTAATTTTAATCTTATCATTCCTTTAATTGTTACTTTTCTTTTAAAAGCATAAAAAGTAATATTTTAATACTAATAACTTTAGATTCCACATATTTTATATATTATAAATTTAAAAAGTATATATGACGTCCGACCGATCTTATCCGATTTTTTGTCCCAGTCGAACGGGGTTGACCCAGTTACCCGCTAACTTCACCGATTCGTCTCCCGATACAGGTCTGATAACATTTTACCAACAGTCTACAGTTTTTTTTTTCACTTTTATCGAACTCTTTTGCAAATAGAAATCTTTAAAACCACTAGGTGTCACATTGTTTTAAACGTTATGCTGTGATTGTTTCGAACACATCTCAACTTTCATATACCATTTTATCCATTTCTTGTTTGTAGATTATATCCTCAAAAATGAGTGAAAACTCCAAGTACTGTAGTTCATCCTGGTCTAAAGAAGAGAACAAGATGTTTGAAAATGCCTTCGCTGCTCATTCAAGCGATACAAATATGTTAGTGAAGGTTGCTGCTGCAGTTCCTAGAAAAACAATTGCAGAAGTTAAATCGCATCTTGATGCCTTAATTTTAGATATAGCTGCAATTGAATCCGGTGACGTGTCAGTACCGAATTATACTGAATCTAGTCATAGAGAAAAAGGTCTGTCCCAGTGTCATAAGAATAAAAAAGGAGCACAACCTTGGACGGACGATGAGCATATGTGCGTTTTGTTTATGTCTGATCTTTACATAAATGTGTGCTATAATTTTTTTGAAGTCACTTTCTGGTTGTTTTATTGACTAACAATGCCATGTATTACATTCTTTATCTTTTTTATTTCTATCAATATTATCATAGGCGGTGCAAGTAACATTTAATTAAGAGAAAGGATACTTTTTCAAAATATTATTTTTAAAATTTATTGTATAACAGAAAAAGTAATAAATTTAATAATATTTAGTGAATATTTTTATTTCTTAAAAATTTTCAGTTTTTCAATTTTTTTAAAACTAAATTGTTAAATTCCATTATATTTTTTTTCCCTTAAATTTAAATTTGATCATGTTTATAATAGTTAAACTTCAAAAATTGTTACTATAACAACCAAGAATTACTCATTTCTCTATCGAACACATTTTGCACCCCTTGCATATTTCTCGTGCAACTCACGGAATAAACACTAGTATTCATTTTAATAAATAAGTGAAGGTTCTTGCCCTTCTTAATGTAATTTAAAATTTTTCCTCTCTAACTCTCGCCAATTTTTCTCTGTATAGCTACAACATTTCTCAAAAGTGTGTTTGGATCATCATAATCATTCAAAAAAAATGGAAAATAACATTTTCTTACATAATTGGTTTTCTGTTTTTCCTTTTGTTTTCCTATGTGATATAGGTTGTTTCTACAAGGTCTGGAAGAGTATGGGAAAGGGGATTGGAAGAGCATTTCCAGGCACTATGTCCAGTCCAGAACCCCAACACAGGTGGCCAGTCATGCACAGAAATTCCTGAAAAGGTCGAAGTCTACGCGAAAGTCAAGGCCAAGAGCCCATAGCGTAACGGGCTCAAATAATGGAGAATCGATTGTCACTGGACAGTCATCTGGAACTGGACCAAACGTAACAGCTTCTCAGGCTCATGGGCCTGTGGTGGTGGTGGAAGAGAAAAACGAAGCAGAGAAGTTCGAAGAATACATGAAAAAGTACCATGATCTTCCCGACTTTGAGATTTACGATCAAGAATTGCTCCCCGAGGTAGAGTTTAATAGTACTGAGTTTGATAGCGTCGATTCGGCCCCGAAATTGCTTCCCGGATACCAGTTTGTTGAAGATCCGGCCGAGCTTACTGCCGAAGAGATTTTCACAACTCCGTTGGTCGATAATTTTATCGATTACTTGTTTGTCAAGCCTCAACAAGTCGACGCTCCTCCAAGTGCTCCTCCTGTAGGCTCCTCCGCAGCAGCTCAAGTCCCTGGGAATCCTGTCCGTTAAGGCCTTAAAGGTCGTCGTCAGACAACTGAAGAATGTGTAAAGGAGAGCCTCTTGTGCTTTGTTTTCTTATCATGTAATCAATTTGTCTAGGATTTGAATTTTCGTGTTTTTTTTTCATGAACCGTATGTTATTCTGTTACATGTATTGTGGCATGATGATTTTTATTAATTGACTTTGATTTCGTTTCTTATTTTAATTTTCTGGTTCTATAATTGTCACATGCATGTTGAGATAAATTGTTTTTCAATTTTTTCTAGAAACAGAGTTTCAAAATTGGAAAATCTTGACAGTGAATTTATCATCATAAGACGTGCAAATGCATTTTTCCTTGTTCTTTCAAACCCAAAAAGAGATCATGAATGATGATGGTTATTGGCGGAACCCTTAATAGGCACCGACGGATCTTCCAGACTGCCGGAAAAATTCTTGATGTTAACATCATTTAGAACTCCCTCTCATTTTAGTTTTTTCCCCTAAAGATGTACTTATCCATAGTGCACTCATACCATTTGATTTTAATAAAAAAAGGCTAAAATTTAAAAGTAACAATGGGCTTCCCTCTTTTGTAACTTATAGCCCACGTTTTCTTTAGAAATTTTTCCAAATCATCCGGCAACCTTAATTACTCATAAATATCCATTTGGATAGATACTTTAGTGAGAAAAAATAATTTCAGATCATTTATCATAGAAATTTTATTTGACATTATTCATTTCCTTCTTATCTTGGAACCTCCTCAACAGAGTTAGAGATTTAATTCCCCCTACTAGTTAGGATATACAAGCCTGACTCTGATTTTTCTGAATTAAAACATGTGATGTGATGAAGGCGAATTTGACACTATAAAATTTAACGTGTATATTGAAAGGGGTCGGGCTAGAGAAAACTTGTAACTTGAGCAAAAAATAGAAATTGAAGACAAAAAATGATGTCTGAAAAACACTTCTTCTGATATTAATTCACGGCTTAATTTTACAGTTTTCTATCACCAAGTATTTATAACAAACTAGTGCTTTACATGTGAAATTGAAGACAAAAAATGATGGCTGAAAAACACTTCTTCTGATATTAATTCACGGCTTAATTTTACAGTTTTCTATCACCAAATATTTATAACAAACTAGTGCTTTACATGTTGTGCGCGCGACAAGTGTTTTTTTAAAAAAATCATTTAACTTTATTTTCATTCGAGAAGATAAATTACGATAAATTATTAGTAATAATTTATCTTAAATCCTAAACCGACACGAAATGCATATTTTTTAATTAATTTTTATTTTGGTATAAATTTTTTTAAACCGATTAGATTTACGAGACCTTAACCTAATTGGTTTTAAAAAATTTACAAGTTAATCATTTCACGGCAAAAATTAGACCCTAACCAGTACAGAAATGCTTAAACCTCCCTAAACTCAAAACCTTAAACGACACGGAAATGCATATTTTTAAATTTTTTTATTTTGGTTTAAATTTTTTTAAACCAATTAACCCTAGCCTAATTAGTTTTAAAAAATTTACAAGATAATCGTTTCCCACTGCAAACTAGTCCCTAACCTATAATTGAAATGCTTAAACACCCCCTAAAACCTAAACCCTAAACCGACATGGAGATGAATTTTTAAAATTTTTAATTTGATTGAAATTTTTTAAAACCGATTAGGCTAGGGTCTAATTGGTTTTAAAAAATTTACAAGTTAATCGTTTCCCGGCGCAAAATAGTCCCTAACCTATAATTGAAATGTTTAAACCCCCTAACCCTAAACAACTAAACCGACACCGAGATGATTTTGTTTAAATTTCTTTTTTAAAAAATTTGGTTGAAATTTTTTAAAACCGATTAGGCTAGGGTAAATGAGACCCTAACCTAATTGGTTTAAAAAAATTTATAAGTTAATTGATTTGCATCTACTATCATCTTGATAATAATTAAAAAACACATCAAAATTTTGCACAATTTGGTATCAAAATAAAAATTCAATAAATATTTTCTGTTGTGTACTGAACAACGTACAATACACATCCTATAAAACTGTAATGTTCATCCTAAATTCAAACGTCTTTCATTAGGAAAAAATATTGTATAAATATGATATCTCATCTTTCTAACTACAATGTTCACTTCAATGAAGTGAATGCTCATCCTGCAAAACTGTAAAGTTCATCTTATGTCTGAAGCTCACTTCAAAACGGATAAAGTTCATCTCAGGAAATGTGATGTGCATCCTGTAATACCTGGTGCTCATCCTATAAAACTATGATGTGTATCATGGCCTGCATTTTCTGTTAGTCACAGGAAAAAAAGAAAGAAAAACATATAATAACAGAATAATATAAAAAATAACTATTGTTTACATACTAATGATAAATGTTCATAAAACAAATTGTTCAAAAAAAAACATCAAAAGTAAATATTGTTTACAGATCAATAATTAAAAAAAACGTTCATAACTTTGTCTTGTAAAAAATATGTAAATCATGGGTTATGGGGAGCCAAGTTCTGGGGAGGCGCGGGTGCAACGACATCCTGGGAAGGCACAGGTGCAGCGACATCCTGGGAGGGTCCAACAACATCTTGGCCAGCATGTATTTGAGGTATTGTTTGGTACGCATTTTCTTGGCGAGCAATATCTATTGCAAGAAAATTAAGGTCACGTTCCAGGAACCTCCTTTCATCCCGACACAATTGATGCAAATAAGCCCGCCTTGCCAGATCATCCTGATTAGGCAAAGATCAGCAATTTGAATGAAATTAGTTCAAAACTCCTTTGTTAATACTTGAATACAAACACGTGGAGTATAGTAATATCAAAAAAACACAAACTGTACTAAGTACTAACCCTATTGGAGTATTCCCGATTCAGTCTCATCCTTATGTTGCTCGAATCCCTCAGAAATTGATCTATTCTTTCCACCATCATTCTTAGATGATCATTCCTTGCTTGTATTTGTGCTACATAAAAAGAAAAAAAATTACAAATCAATCATGTTTAAGTTGAAAAATGATTTTACAAGATAGAATACAAAGAAGCAAAAAGAAGGGCATACCGTTGTTCCTTTGAAGCATCCTTTCGTATGTGGTGGAAGAAGACATATTTTTGCCGAATAACAGAAAGCTAGAAATGATAGGAATTCCAAGTGTGTAGAATTGGTTGGATAATCTCGTTTTTTATAGATGAATTCTGTGAATGAAACTGTTGATTTTGTTCTTGCCCTTGACCATTCCACTTCTATGGATAATGAATGTACATTAGGAACTTCTGATGGTTGTTCATTTAACAAGCACATAGATTCCTTAGAATTCAGATTGGTTCTTGTTTATTGTACATGTGTCTTTTCGTTTAATAACTGTCAGAAGCAGTTTAAGGGGCAGTTATTAATTGCCAGAAGCAGTTATAATTAAACAAAGCTGCTGTAAATAGTCATTGCTTATTTTTGTGGTTTCATTGTTCATCCTGCAAAACTGCACTAAAAAACTCCAAATGTTTATCTCACAAAACAACAATGTTCATCCTGAAAAACTGAACTAAAAAACAATGTTCGTTTCAGAAAGAAGTTCATCTCACAAAACAACAATGTTCATTTCAGAAAGAAATTCATTTCAACTCCACAACAACAATTATTCTAATATGCCAAAATGTTCGTTCACAAGGAGCAAATGTCCATTTCCAGGCTGCCATTGTTCATCCTGCAAAACAGCCAATGTGCATGGTGGTTCGCTGGAACTCTAGATATGGACCCGACTCACTTCGGGTGGCACCACTAAAACTTGAGACTGTTGCTTACAATGGTTGAGTTGGACAAACTGGATGCACAAAATTTCCCACAACTTCAGGATTCATAAACATCATCGTATTGTAAATCGCTTTCTTTGTCCTCACAGCAATCTCTTTCTTCCTCCTCTTTCCAAGGGTTCGCTTGTTTTTCTTCTCCACAATACCTACCTTTCTTTCATCCCGCTCACCAATCGTTCTAAGTTTCTCATGATCTTTAACACTGATATATTTTTTTTTTGAAAATTTAACACTGATATTTGATGTTGAAGCCTTATTTTTTTTCCTCTGCCTCTGTAGATTGCAGACAACCAACTTCACCCTCTACCATGCTTGTCACCATTTTCAGACCTTCCTCAATGAGTTGTTTAGCTCTCGGGCATGACTCACTTGCTGAGACCAACCTAATAAATTTGTTGATAAAATCAGACCTCCAAATTGTAGAGCCTACAATCCCAGACCCTGCATTACTACCTGAAGCACCAACACTGCATTGCTTGTTAGCATTCCTCCTCCACCGAGCCAAAATATAATCTTTTGGAACAGCATTTATGTTGTTCACATGGTAAACACGTAAACAGTGAGTGCATAAAAATCCAACATCAGAAAAAATGTTGCAAGTACAAGAAATCTCTCGTGTCTGAAAATTGAAATGAACCTGAAGCGGGAATACATCAATATTGTTACGCTTCACATAGTACAATGCTACCTCATCATTAACTTGTTCAACCATTGAATGCTCACAAGAATCCATCTTCATGCTGCTGTTGAAATAGCAAATAGGCTTCAATTGTATATAACTCACGTGCATGAATAAGTAAACTCACATCTTTAAACTTCATTTCCACACGTCCGTTATTACACCAGAAATCTTCACGATTTTCTTTCTTTCTCTAACCATCTACCACCTGCTCAAACTTATCATAAAAAGTACACAGACGGGTACATTTTGGAAGTTCCTCTGAAATAGACTTGTTAGTTGTCTCACTCCTCTGCGAAAAAACTATACCACCAGAAAAACGGTCTTTGTCGATGGCTCGACACCATTTCTGCCATATGACATGTAAATGCCGCAACCATTTATTATCCGCATAGCCATATTTAACACACAATCTACAACAGAACAAAAAAATATTCAAATTCAGTAAAAAAAAAAAAACAACAAATAATTCTACAAGATTACTATAATTCTGCACGAACAATATTTCATACAAAAATTAGAAATGTTCATTCATGAACTACAATGCTCATTTCATTAACCACAATGTTCATCTTAAAAAATTTCTACATGATATCAAAGATACTTACTCATTCCAGTAATAGTCAAACTCAGCCTGCGTATCTGTGTTTCTCAAGACCATATAAAACAAATCCAAAAACTTGTCTTTTGCCCTCAAAAAACCAATGTGATTTTTTGAATTTTCACTTATGTGTCATGTACACAACCGATGGCATATTTCTGTGGGAACGATCTAAATGAGACTGAATTTCAGGAATCATATCGTGGTTGTGCTCTATTTTGTGCACAACCACCCTCCAAATCCCTTCTTCATTCACCTTAATCTGAAGCATAGCTTCGCACCATGTGAGCGTGACAAGTTTGTTTCGAATCTCTTTCCCTCTACTCTTTTTCTACCATTGTTTATTATAAGTAAACTGTTTCACATGTAATTCGCCACCCGCCCTGTATCTCGACATAAATTTCTTAATATCAAAACCAAGTTTCTTAAAACTAAAATTGTTCATCCCATAAAACTACAATACTCACAACAGAAAATGTACAAGAATCGCAGTAAATGGCCTTAAAAATTTATCAAAAACATTCAGAATATTGAAATTCATCCAGTCATTAAGAAATTCAGGTTCACCTCCCACAAAAACGACACTTTCGTCAAATCCTTCCGCATTAACGATGTTTTCATCCTCTGATTTTTCACTTGAATAAAGAACAATGGCAGCAGATCTTCATTCTGAACAGCTCATCTACTAGACTAAAACAAATACAAAAAACGTAATAAATCAAATTTATACACTGCTGCTGGTGAAGCTACAATTCATACGACACAGCCGATGAGATTCAAATTAAATTAAATTGAAATAGGAAACTAAATCAAATCGAAGCATTACCTTAGAATTACCATCATGAAACTAAATCGGATTGAAGTTCGCCGGAAGATCGCCGCCAAAGAATCGCCGGATGAATTTCTAAATTCTAATTACTTCGATTAGGTTGTAAAAAGAGAAGATAAAAGAGGGGGAAAAAAAAACTAATACGCGTAAGTCGCTTCCCTTTTAAAAAAATTTGGAGACGTGGTTTTTTATTCATGGTTTATATGTGTCCGTTCCGGAGCTCCCTATGTTGGGAACTCCGGGTGCTTAGTATTATTTGCGGGGGACAAATTCTGAATCCCTATACAAATCAATAAACACATCTGGGAAAAAAATCCTAATCCCTATACAAATCGGAAAACACATCTGATTCGTTTACCTATTTGAAATCTCGACCTCAAAATCTATCACATTCATCAATGGCCACCATGGCCACCAAATGGCCCACCAGCTCCAGACCTTTCAGGGCACCATCAATGAATCCGACACCGTAATTGCAGATCGGCGACCACCAACAATGACACCGGCTAATCCTTGAGGCCATGAGAAATGGGACTGTGGATAAAAATGGGAAGAGACGGTGAAGGCATGCAGGAAGGGATGGCCGATTTGTTGTTTGGTGGCTTATTGGGCGGCGAAAGAAGGGGTGGGGGGGGGGGTTTAAAGGGGAATTTTCGTAGGAGGAAGAAGAAACGGGTCTGTGTATTGTAGGGAGTCCAAAACGGTGTCGTTTTCGTGAGGGAAAAACTACCGCGGAAGATATAAATCACATGGGGAGGGGAATTCTACAATAAGGAAAAAGCCAATAATTGTATATGAGTTTGTAATTACGAAAATATCCCTATTTAAAAAAAGACCATCCAACCAATCAGATTTGAGAAATTAAACCGTCCGGCCAATCATATTTTAAGAATTTTTTAGCTCATCCAAACTTTTATCATTATTATGCTATAGATAAGGATAAAAAAAAGTTAAATTACGTGTTGATGAGTTTTCTTTTTTAAAAAAATACTCATCCGTCCCATAATTATTGTCCAGTTTTACTAAAATGAAATATTTTATTTTTGGTCAAACTTAATTATATTTTACTTTGAACAACCGGATGTAATCCTACATAAGTAATTTTTTAACCACAAAGATTTTATGGATAATATTTTTTACTAAGGACAAATGTGTAACTTAATTCATAAAAAGTCAAATTAGACAATAATTTTGGGACAAAACTTTTTGAGCGAAGTGGACAATAATTATGAGATGGAGGGAGTAATTTTTTTTATTAGGGAGGCGGCTGAGATGTCCATGTTAATAATTTCTAAATTAAATTAAAAACAGCAACTAACATTGTCATTTATAACAAACCCCATGCAATCAAACACCTCTTGGATAGCTCCAAATCCCAGCTGAGGCGATTCTCTTTGTTGCATTGTCCTAATTTTTTTTTTGCGTTATTCTATCATGTTTGTTGGGAAGTTTTTGATTTTTGTATTGAAAATTATGTTGAGATTAATTGAACTCACGGAGGGTGGTTCAGGACAATTCTGTGGTGGCTGCTAAGGTTGAAAAAAAAAAAATCTTTTTTAAGCCGAGTTGTTGGCTATCATGCAACCAAAACAGATGAGGGATGTGTTAATTAAAATGGAAGAATCATAATCCAAATAATCATTGAGGAAAAAAAACATAGTTGCAGTTAGAACAATATATATATATATATATATATATATAAAATATATATATTTTGTTAGGTTAGTCCATTATCTTTCTGTCTGTTCTTCTTTCAATGATTCTTCTGGGTTAATGTAATCATGGCATTAAGTGTAGGAATTGTGTAGCTGATGCTCCAAACAATTCGAATATGCTAATTTTTTTTTTCTATATTTTCTTTTTGTAACGGTTTTTCTATATTATTAGAATCAATAAACTTTAGAATATAGGATGCTACCTCGTTACGGAGATTGATATCGGTCATATATAACGCAGTTGTTGTACATTTTAGACATGAATTTCGTGTGTTATAATGTTGATCTTATTTCTTTGGTTTCAGTATATCTTCTTTTTTTTGTGTATTATTTTTATTTTTTCTTATTTGAAAGATTATTATACTAACGGCGAAGATGGAGTTAAAACCATCACTAGGTAAAGACAACGTGCTTCAGGAAATTCAAAAGTGACTGGGGATGGGTGAATTTCACAAGAACTTGAAAAGACTCCTACTCTGGAAGTTAAAGTATGGGCTTCATGAATGGGAGGAATGCGACTAAAGACGATGAAAGGAAAAATTAAATAGTGCTGAATAAAGTGTATTTCTCTTTCATTATTGTGTAATATATTAACTTTTCATTTTATTATTTATTCGTTTTCGGCCAACACAGATTTTTATTTGTTCATTTTGAACATATCAATTGCCATGTTTGTTGGCTAACTTCCTTTTTTTTTTCCGGTGATTTTGAATAGCAAACAAGTAAAGTGTATATATAGAATAATAACACAAATTTCACCAAATTCATCTCAACATTAATATTCATTAGAGTGAGGCAATATTCACTTCAAGAGCTAGCACAGCACGTATACACAACAATTCCACACGCAGCTCAAATTTCCATTTCAAGCATAAAATCCCAAGCCATGGAAACAATTACCTCATTTAACCGTTTTGTGAGTATCTGTTTCTCTCGCACACTAATCATTAGTTTATTTGAGATGATGCCTACCACATTAATCATGAGTTCATTTTATGTGTATTTTTCTTTTTTTGTGTGAGCGGCAAGAGTCACTAAATATATACGTTACTAAATTTTTTAGTTTTTACCCTTGACCCAATGTTTTGTGTATATATGATATGAGAAAAGAACCAGTAAAGTTGAGCTAATGTCAAATCCTGATGGCCTTAATTCTGCTTACTCTTTTTTTTTTCCACTTATTTTAAATTTCCCGCTTTTACAACAACCCTTTAAGCTCTCAAACGTTTTATATAACTGTTGGTGATACGATGAAAAAATAGAAGTAACTATTCCCTCCGGTCCTTAATATAAAACATTTTGATTTTGTCTTAAATTTTATTTAGTATGCACTTTTTCTTGGTAAAATGTTTGTTAGTTAAAATTTTTTCGGTTTAATTCTTCGACGACGGTTAAATAATTTTATTTTTATCCCGCGATTTGAAAGTTCTCTTTCTCTCACTGTCTTTGCTATTTACCCTAAAAGCAAATTCGAACATGAGTCCCGTAATCATGGATGGCAAAAGCCAGTTGACTATCTTACGAAGGACTAATTCAAAGGAATCTTTCAGTTGTTGGGAATGGGGTATAGTTAAATCACATTTATTAAGAACTAAATGATTGGTTTGATTTCTTGACATTCATAATAGTAACAGTAACGAGTTTTAGACATGCAACTTCATGACATGGTTATATTAGCCTACTCTAATGTTGTATCTTCTGCTCTAAAATAATTGTCTAATTTGTATTTTTATTTTATGAAAACTTAAATTGGACAACAATTTCATAACAAGAGGAAATACTAGTTTTGCGTGTATTAATTTTAACATGTCCAAAAATCATGTCACATTTTTTTTTTACCTGATTTATGCATTTGAAAATACGACATAGACCGTTTCTGCATTACTGGCAAAGAGAGAAATTTAAAATCTGACATCATTCCAACCTATCACCCTTATCATCACCAATATAAAAATGCTGCCAAGTTTAACAAATTCCTTGATAAACAATTTTTCACAAGCATTCAAATCTCCCAAATCATCAATCTCCAGACTGAACTCCTTCATCAATCTTCCAGTGTCCCAATTATTTTGCATGCATCAGATTGACTGATTGGAAAAGAAAAACAAAGTAAAAAAAGAAATGGATCAGCTGAAACCAGGACCCGCAAATTCAACTCCTCTTACCCCGATTGGTTTCCTAGGAAGAGCAGCCACAATCTATGGCGACTGCCCTTCTGTTGTGTACAACAGCAGGACTTACACGTGGTCGGAAACCCATGAAAGATGCCTCAGAGTAGCTTCTTCGCTTGTTTCTCTGGGAATCAAAAGAGGACAGGTGGTTTCCGTGGCGTCTCCGAATGTTCCAGCTATGTACGAAGCTCATTTTGCTGTCCCAATGGCCGGGGCTGTTCTTAATACGATCAATCTCCGTCTTGATGCCAGAATGATTTCTATCCTTCTTCATCACAGTGAGTCAAAGCTCATCCTTGTCGATTACCAATCAGCTTCTTTGATTGTTGAAGCATTATCGTTGTTTCCACCGAATTCTCAATTGCCCCGGTTAGTACTCATCGCCGACGACGGGAATTCATCGTCGATTCCATCAAATTTTTACTGCTCGTATGAAGCTCTGGTGGAAACAGGGGACCCCTGTTTCAAATGGGTTCGTCCGGAATCCGATTTTGATCCGATTTCGTTGAATTACACCTCAGGAACAACCTCATCCCCAAAAGGGGTGGTCCACTGTCACAGAGGAGCATTCACAATCACTATCGATTCCTTAATTGAATGGGCGGTACCAAAAGAGCCGGTCTTTTTATGGACACTTCCGATGTTCCACGCCAATGGATGGAGCTTCCCTTGGGGTATGGCTGCTGTCGGCGGTATCAATATTTGCCTGCGGAAATTCGATGCGGCCATTGTTTATTCCGCCATCCGAAAGTACAAGGTAACGCATATGTGTGGAGCACCGGTTGTGCTGAACATGATCTCAAGTTTTCCCCTGAATGAACCGCTTCAGTACCCTGTTCGTATCTTAACAGCCGGAGCTCCTCCTCCAGCGCCGATCCTTTTCAGGACGGAATCACTGGGATTTGTTGTAAGTCATGGATATGGATTGACGGAAACAGCGGGGCACGCGGTTTGTTGTACTTGGAAGAACAACTGGAATAAGCTGCCGGCGACAGAGAGGGCGAGGATGAAGTCGAGACAAGGAGTGAGGAGTATTGGGATGACGGAAGTGGATGTGGTGGAGCCGGAGACTGGGATGAGTGTGAAAAGTGATGGTAAAACTCTTGGTGAGGTTGTTCTGAAAGGGGCTTGTGTTATGCTTGGTTATCTCAAAGATCCTGAAGGAACTGCAAAATGCATGAAAAATGGTTGGTTTTATACCGGTGATGTTGCAGTGATGCATCCGGATGGGTACATGGAGATTAAGGATAGGTCAAAGGATGTAATCATCAGTGGTGGGGAAAATCTGAGCAGTGTAGAGGTGGAGTCGGTGCTGTACATGCATCCGGCGGTGAATGAGGCGGCGGTGGTGGCGCGGCCGGATGAGTTTTGGGGCGAAACTCCTTGCGCATTTGTGAGTTTAAAGGTTGATGCAAAGGGAAAGACTGAAGAGATGGGTGTTATTGATTTCTGCAGGGGTAAACTGCCCAAATATATGGTGCCTAAAACGGTGGTGATCAAGGAAGAGCTTCCCAAGACTTCCACCGGGAAAATTCAGAAGTATTTGCTCAGAGAAATGGCCAAGAGCCTTGAACCTTCAAAGTTCAGCACATATTAGAGGTTGAAACTATGACTTGAATCATGCCGTGTTTGTTCTCTGGCCATTGCTAGATATTTAATTGCATTCATCTGTGTTTTTTTTTTCTTACCGTAAAAAAATCCATGTAAGAAATAAAACGTTATCGACCCATTTCATCCAAAGACGAATTTGGAGAAGTAAAAAGAGAGAATTGAACCGTGATGCGAGTAGAGATAACTGTAACGCCATGTATAAATATAATCTCCCAGCTCAATTCATTCCTTTCGATCTTATTCAAAAATATCTTCAACACTCGATTTTGCTCCTTCCCCTGATTCGGCTTCCTTAAATCATTTATTATTCGAATTCCAAAATATAATTAATTTTCCGAATTGACGCAATCAATATCTATTGTATATATATTTATATTATTTTTTAATTAAAGCAGCAAACAAAAAAAACATATGTCACTTCTACAATGAAAATTTTCCCTCCAAAAATTTTTTTTAATACAAAATTAAAACTGACACAAGACACTCAAGATTTTCAGAAAAAGACAACCTTAAACAAACCCCAAAAATATAATTTACGTCAAATTATGATAAGATAATAAGCAAACCCGTAGGCAATTTAAATATAGATAATCCTTAATTTTAGCCGTTGAGAAAATGTAGATAATCCTTAATTCAAAACCGTAGAGAAAATACACAAAAAGTAATCTTAAATTGTAGCTCCTTAATTTTAGGTCTATATAGATAAACATACTTTGTACGGCCACACTTTGACACATACAACTCCTTAATTTTAGCTTCATAATTTTAGTTCCTCATAAAGTCTTTAATGGTAGTGCATTCAAAACTTCAAAATCTCATAAATCACTCGGCCAAATTAACTTTGCTTCAAATTCAAATCCTAAATTCTAATCCCCAAAATCACTCTCACTCTCAGTTATCCCCAAAATCACTCCTCATCCCCGAAATCACTCTTCATGACCATTTCACAGTTGGACTCAGGCTGCTCCAAATCTCGGTCTTTCATTTGCAAAAAGACTCAAAAAAATATTCTTGTTTTCCAATCTCTTTACTTTTTGTTTCATTTTATCTCTTAAACACAAAATTCAATACACTATCTAAATAACATTTTGATTTATCTTTTAAAATGTTGCGTTTGATCATTACACTATTGTAAAGTTTTCATTTTGGTCACTGAACTATTGTAAGTCTTTATTGCGTTTGGTCACTGAACTATTGTAAAATCTTGCGTTTGGTCATTACATTATTGTAAATTCTTCATTTTGTTCACTGAACTATTGTAAGTCTTTATTGCGTTTGGTCACTGAACTATTGTAAAGTCTTAAGTTTGGTCACTAAATTATTGTAAAATCTTGCCTTTGGTCATTACACTATTGTAAAGTCTTCATTTTGGTCACTAAACTATTTTAATTTCATAAATGATCACTATACTATAATATTTTTTCAAATAAAAAATTAAACTACATTTTAAATCTCATCCGAAATCCAAATCAAAAACTACAACATAACGTTGCCCAAACAAGCACTTAATCTTCCAAAAAACCAAGCTGCTTAGAGGATAACCGGCGACAGATGAAAACGATGAATTTTGAAGTCTTATTGTACTATTTTTTGGAAGAATTTATTTTCTTCTTCTTCAATTTGAATTTCATCCCCATCGCCGCGCCCGTACTCGGCTTCTCTTTGATTCTGAATCAAATTCTACAATACCGAGTTTTGATTTTTTTTTTTTATTTTTTTTATTTTTCAATTGAGTCCACCAGAATAGCATTGAAATAAGGAAATTGAGTTGTTCAATTGAACTCAAACTTTTCGTTTGACGGATTGGTGAGGAGGGCTGGAGATTAGGGTTTGATTGCTGGTTGCCAGTGCTAACACATCTGGCGGAGGTCATCGTAATGGACCTACTACAAAACCAGTAATAATGGCCAAGAAGACCCCGGTATTTCTGCACAGTGGACATCTGAAGTCAGTCCCTTTAAGTCCGTTCTCATTCTCCTTACTATGAGGTATAGATATGACCTTTTCTCCACCGATTTTGTGCGATTCCGGATTTGGGTTCTTCACTTGGTGTTTTGAATTGATTTTGATTGATGGGTTTTGTGCCTTTCAGATGATTAAGGAAGCAATTGCTACTTTGAAGGAGAGGACGGGCTCAAGCGTTCCAGCTATTGCTAAGTTCGTCGAGGACAAAGAGGGGAAGAACTTGCCACCAAATTTCAAGAAGCTTTTGTTTAAACTGTTGAATCAGAATTTATTGAATTCGGTGGTGAGCAACATCAACGTGTGTAAAACAAGCCAAATCATCAAACCAATCACCTGATCAACAAGGGTTGATTACTGTAGGTGATCACGTTCTCTGCTCAACAAGGGTTGATTCACTCTGGCGAAAGAAATCTTTCAGAAATCATATGATTGAAAGTGAGAACTAAAATGTCCAAATGATCCTTTATATTTGGGCCTACTTGAATATATATCACTTACATTAACATTTCAATATCGTAGTCTCAAACATTAGGTTTTCACACTTTTTTGTTTGGTTCCATTTCACTGTTTCCGGTTTGGTTCCATTTCACTGTTTCCGGCCGTTAGACATGCCGGAATCAGGGGTATTTTTGTCTTTTAATTTAATTTAAATTTTTATTAAAATTTAAATCATTAAAAATATTTTAAAATTCAAATTTCATTATTTAATTGTTAAAATATTATTTATAAATTAAAAATATTATTGTACAATTTAAAATTTATGATTATTTTTAAAATTATTTTTTTATTTACTAATTACTTTAAGTACACAGTAAATAATAATTATATTGCACTTTTAACTTTGGGCCCACTGTAACTTAAAAAATTTGTCAAAAATAGTAATTATGTGGAAGATCACATTTGAAACATGTGATCTTCCACGTCACACCCATCCAATTTGTCAAAAATAAACCCTGTTGCATCATTACCTTTACTGCTAATTGGACTTTCAGCATCAGCAAACACCATGGATCCACCAGATTCAACAACAAATAAATCGAATGGGACTGAAAATGTAATTCCCTTTATCTTGACAGCTACACTTTCAATAAGGAAGTGGAGTTTTCCTTCAGAAACAGAACCATCATTACACCTTCTCTACGTCATCTCCAAGGAATAAGCTGCTCCAAGCCTCCAACATAGACATGAGCGCTGCCTTCTTTTTGCTCTGTTCTTGTCCAACCATATCGAATATAACCAGGATTTCCACATGCACAAGGGCAATCGCTAGGCAGAACGTCATCACTATACTCAACAGCAACAGCAAAAGCAACAGTATTAGCAAAATTATCCCCCAAAGATGCAACTAGAATATGTAACTTTGCTGTTCTGACATGACACTCATGTGTTTCTTCTTTAAAAATCAAACAGGAATCAACCATCATAGTGAGAACAACAAGAACCTCATTCTGAAATTCACAGCAAACTTTTAAATGCAAAAATTTGGCACCACCAACAGACTCAACCCCATCATGTAGATAGCATACAACATCAAGAACTAGCCAAGCAATTTCCCAAACAAAATTTGCAGAGAAACACAATTTCTCTCTCTGACACACTTCAAATGGAGATAACTACTTGTAATCAATTCGACTTTTACATCATTTGGCCTTGCAGCTAGAACACTAATATCAAGGAGATTCCCCACTGCAACAAGTAACTTCATAATCTCCGTGTCTTCAAAAATTCCATGACAAGCACCCTTTTTCATGATATCATTCCAATATAATTTTAGGGTTCCGGCAATTAAATAAGCAATCATTCTACCCGAATCAATAAACAAAGGACTTCGATGCTTTCTTATATTCACAGCACCATTTTTGCAAACACTGGTTACCAATTCAGATTCATTCTCCCACCCTTTTAAGCTCAACCCAATTACCAATATAAATTCTCTCGTCAGACTGTAAGGTTCTACTAACTATATAATATCTAGTTGTTTCGCCAGGATCAAAGACGAAATTACTTCGATATTGTCTTTGTGCGAAAGGAATTTGCAATTCAGCAACATCCTCAAAGGGACTAAACACATCAATTTTGTCATCCATTTTTCCATTTGGAAACATTGAACTTAGTCCTTTCTGTCACATCATTTTTACTTGAATCACCGCATACATTATCCAAACCATTAATATTACTAGCATTTCTAGCAAACAGAGTTCCCAGTGCACCACCACACTTTAACAGATCAAGCAATTCACAAGTAACACTAGGATACTCAGGCAAAACATCAACATGAACAAGATATTCTAATCTCCCCGGATCAATATGAAAAGTAGTCGTTTCAAACCGTTTAAAAACATTTATGATCGTCCACTAACCACAGAGCATCATAGTGACCCTTTAACCCTTCCTGAACAAATTCAAAGAGCCAGCAAACATTTGCACCAACCAAAGAGTTCAAAAACTCATACGAACCAGAATTAACATCAAATAAGAAACAAGGATCAAAGGTGAATTCACCATTTTCACTTTCATTCTGAGACGTCACTTTAACACCAAGATTTATACAGATGACTAGTATATCATTATAGTCTTTAAAAGCACAAAACACATCAACAGGATACTCTAATCCTCTAGGGTTGATTGCGAATATAAAGCCATCATTTATAGTAATGGAAGAATTCAAAAATGTGTCTGAACACCTCGAACCAACAGAAGTAGAACATGCCCTTATAAGACCATTCAAATTGACCATACGAACACCACTACAGGCAGGTCTGATCACAGCTTCGCTCAATTCACCAAAAAGATCCAAAACATCATCACTTTTAACCATATCCCGAATTATATAATTACCACTTAGCGGAATAGAAGCATCATAATCATCATAATACACAAACTCATCGACACTAGCAATATTAATAGGGCATATTATTCCCCCAGGATCTACATGAAAAGAATTTTAGTTACAACAGAAATGCACACCATCAGCACCATCAGTAGATACCTCAGTAACTAAATCAATTCCCTCCAAGCTTTCGGGAACACATACAGAGTCAATCAAAGGACTATCATCATTTTTCAGTTCAGGATCAAGTCACATAATCACCATTAGGCTCCAATTTAACAGAACCATCATCAATACAACACATTTCATCAACTGACTCATCAACTATGTCAATCAAAACAAAAGAATCACTATTCAGTTCCAGAGATTCATCAACAAAACATTTAATTCTCCCCGGCTCAACATGGAACGAGTTATGACTTAACTCTCCACATACAGTAATCTTTTCATCCAAAATTATAGTATCATCATTCAATTTTGAGGAGTCATCTACGGAAAATGCAGATTCAGCACAATTCACCTTTTGCGATAAGGGGTTACCATTTTCATCAAATGTCTCAACAGAGACGTCACCAGGCGAATAGGCATCATTTTTTTCTTCCTCTGATGACGTCACATCGTATTTCCCCTTCAACCCAGATTCGGACTCTTAGAACGACGTGGCTAAAACTTCATTTGATTTCTCCGATGATGGATTGGCTCCTTCGTCACCATCTACAGCTAATTTACACCGATGCATTCCTCGACTGGTGGCGCTGAGGCTGGAACATCCGCATCGTCGGCTTCCCAAACATTGATCTTCACTGTTGGCCGGATGAACTTGCCAAATTGGAGCTCCAGCTGGTTGGCAAATTCTCCCACGTCGACAATAGGGAAGCAGATAACAAGCCGTAAAGAAATTGCAAGGGTTCGCTGGCTAAATAGAAAGTGGCTACAATCAGTCGTCGGTGAGATGGAATGAAATTATAGAAGAAGAATTGCTCAATTATGTCTGGCCACTGTCCGACTTTCTCACCGATAAAAAGGGGAATCCCGTCCGGTGAGGGTTCTGGGAGATTAAACTGTGCCGGATTTGGGGGAAGTATTTTTGATGGTGGAAGGGATAACAATGCGCGAATCTCAGGAACATCCAATTCGGCAAAATCCATCGATTAATCGATAAAAATGAAGAAATGGAACGGAGGAAAGTTTGGTGTGACCGAAGAAACGAAGAAATCGCACAGAGTTCAGAATAAGAAGGCAGAAATAGAGTTCAGAGGGAAGGAAGCAGAAGGGGGAGAAAAGATGAACGGAATCGATCAAATGATATAGAGTCGGCCGAGTAAGGATCGCTCTGATATCAAATGTCACGTCCGGGGGCCTCAGGGGGGTGGCCGGAAACAACAAAGGAGAGAATTGACGGAGGCGGTGAAGATTAGGGTTGAAATTGGGGAGAACGACGAAGAAGAGAAGAAAATTGGAAAAATTCAATTTAATACAATATTTTCGATAATTTATTTTACAACCCCTGATGACTATTATAGCCTCGCATAATTTAAACACTACAAACCAGCCCTGTATTTTCTATTTCTTACTATTTAGTCCAAGGGCGTGACAGTCACACAATTGATTGGAGAGAAATGCACTTAGCTCGATATGCTATGAAGCACAATGGTTTCAGCTGTGACTCCAGGCCCAAATCCAAAGAGCACACCCCATTCCAGACCTTCTCCAGTAGTTTTGAATCCATCTTTCACAGAAGCCTTCCGCATCTCATCAAGAATGAACAGCACAGATGGACTTCCCATGTTTCCATACTCACTTAACACATGCCTTGTTGCACGTAACTTGTTCGGTTTTAGACCCACCTTGTTCTCCACTTTATCAATGACAGCTGGCCCACCTGGGTGCATGATCCAAAAGATTGAGTTCCAATCAGAAATGCCTAAAGGCCCAAACGCTTCTTCCAACAACTTATCGATATTTTTGGAGACGAGGTCAGGAACATCCCTGACGATTTTAAATGACCATCCATCTTCACGGAGATATCCTTCAATTGCCCCTTGACTCTGAGGAATGATTGTTTGGGCTGTGGAGACTAACGCAAACCAAGGCCTCTCAACACCAGGCTCTGGGTCCGACCCAACAATGACCGCAGCTGCTCCATCTGCAAACAGGGCCTGCACGACAAGACCACTGGCATGGGCGCCACTTGGGCCACGAAACCACCCAACAGTCATCTCGGCACACAAAACTAGGACACGTGCACCTTTGTTGTTCTCCGCCAAGTCCTTGGCCAGTCGGAGAGTCGCTCCGCCACCAAAGCAACCTTGATGGTATGACATGAACCGTTTAACTGACGGGTTAAGGCCCAAAAGCTGCGTGAGCTGGTAGTCAGCACCGGGCATGTCCACACCACTTGTGGTACAAAAAATTAGATGGGTTATCTTGGACTTGGGCTGACCCCATTCCTTAAGTGCTTTTTCAGCTGCTTGTCCTCCAAGTTTAGGCAGTTCAGCCAGTAGAATCTCTTGCCTAGCATTTAGAGAGGGGCTATCAGGAGCACACATGTTGGGATTTTCCTTCAATATGTCCTCTGTTAGGTACATGTAACGTTTCTTGATCGTTGATTTGTCACCTGAAATTTCAATATATATAAAGAATATGTGATACGTGTCTTGTATTTCTGTTCTTGCGAAATTATTATCCAATTTAGATTTTCATTATATTAAAAATTAAAATTCAAACTGGACAATAATTTCGGGACGGAAGGAGTACCTACTAATGTAATTGACATTTACGTTGGGACAGAGGGAGAGTAAACGAGAGAGAAGAGTTTGTTTTAAAAAGAAATGACGAATTAACAAAGGCTTCTTACTTACATAGATGCTGAAATTTCTGTTTGAGTTGAGCCATATGTGAGCTGTTGGTGACCCGAAAATAGTAGTCCGGGAAAGTGCTTTGCTCAATACAGTTGGATGGCGTGGCTGTCCCAATTGCCATGATCGTAGCCGGCCCTTCCGCCCTCTGGGCTCTGCGAACCTCCTCCACCGTCACCATTCTTGCCGCCTGAAAGATCTTTATAGCGACGTTTAAATTTGCTGCAAGGGGCAAAACAAATTAATACTCGTACCAGTCAAGAGGCATGTATAATATACACAAGTAAAACAGGGTGAGGAAGCATGCACTTTTTTTAGAGCACTTTCGTCTTTTGCCAAACAAATGTTGGATTTAAAATAAAAATCGGTGCCGCTGTACTTATGCCAATTGACAAAGGCTGCTCTAACTCTTCTGGTAGTGTCTCTTTTAATTTTTTGTTTTATTCCGTTTAAAGAGATTTTTAAGCATATGTTGTTTAAAATTTAATGAATGATTGGAACAAGCACTGTTTGTTTACTTTGTCATACAATTATGTAAGTTGATGATTCAATAATTTGAAATTTCAATTAGTGCCAACTGTTACTACTTACTATCAATCATTGGAGGTTGTCTACTACCAACTATTATTATTATTATTATTATTATTATTATTATTATTATTATTATTATTATTATTATTGACTAACAACCAATCACGATCACAATACCGGCGGCTCCAATAAAATCCAGTTTCAACTGCTGAACCTTTAACACTTAAAAACTTTTATTCCAAAAAAATCTTATAATTATTAATTTAGGGTTTTATCAATAATTTATTTATAAACTAATAATTCTCTACATTAATAAATTTTTTAGGCCCTAATGCTTATCAAGTTTTAGGATTGATCATATTTTTAAGGTCTTGAAAAATAGTAAAATACAAAAAGAATAAAATAGAAAGGGGGAGAATGACTTTTTTTTGGTTATTTTTACATATTTTGGGGTTGTTTTTACAATTTCAAAACTATGCGTTAGTTTTTTTATATGAAATTTGTTATTTCATTAATAAAACTAACGGAGTTACATTAGATTGGTTGAAATTTACATCGATTAGATAGAAAAAAAGTTATAGACCCATCACTTATTACTGAAATAAATTATTGAGATGTTTTTCTTTCTGTTCCTAATTATTTAATTTTATGTTTATATTTTTGATGTTTTTATCTTTTATTAATCTTGGTGTGTGTTTTTAAATTAAACATTATATAATTTATTCTTTTATCATATATTGTCGAATATTTTAATATCAAAAATAAAAATACAAAAAAATCCATAATAATTATAGTTTTACCATGAAGATATGCTATTATTTAAAATAATTACATCATCCAAAATAGATATTTTTCCTACATAAATTTACCCGGGCTTGTCTAGGGTGGTTTACCTCTGATAAGGGTCAAAATATACATATTTAGCAAGCATATTTAGCCTCATTCTTACTTGTAAATAAGTCTAATTAGATAGAATTTGTTTGGTTTTACTTATGTTTTGTGTTTTTGGGTGATCAAGGTGTTGAAATCATAAATAGAGCAGAATATAGGCTAAAATAGTCAAAAAGGGCAATGTTTTGGAAGATTACTATCACTCGGGCAAGTGAACAACGCCACTCCCCCAAGTGACTGCTGCTACTGCTGCTGATGGGACGCGCCGCAAAAATGCAAGGCTCAAGAATCAGATTTTGGAAACTTTATGGAAGCTTGAAAGCCAAGGAAAGGGGAGCTGATTGGTTGTTTCTGAAAAAGTGCAAAGATGATGGGAAATGGAATGTGCGGGTTACAACTTGTCAAGTAGCTCAAGGAACAACTTGGCAACTTGCTCAACTTGTCAACTTGCCAACTTGAGCTCATGGATATTAAAATAGTACAAAATGGCATCTCCCAAGCTCTATATATGAAGAAAATTAGCAAGGGAACCAGGGAATTAATTAAAATGGAAAGTAATGAAGAGAGTTAGATATATAAATAAATGAGTGAATAAAAGCAGCTAGGAGTGGCAAGTTCTGCCTGTCACTCGGGAGAGTGAGAAGAGTCACTCGAGGGAGGGACCTGGTGACAACAACAAATTCCCTAAGTTCTTCTCTCCTTCTCTCCTTCTCTTAGTTGTTTCCTTGTTTTGTATTGATGTTTAATGCTAAGAAATGCATCATTGTGTATTTATATCTATAGTTATGTGTAGCTAAACTCTCTCTAGGGTCTAATCCCTTTTATCTATACAAGTATGTTTTGGTAATATTCCTATATGATTTATTGTTTCTAGTTTAAGTGATTGAACCAACCTTTTAGTTAGCCGTGACAACTAGCTAATTGTGCATGCATACTATGGAATCCAGGCCCGCTGAACATAGTTTAGAATTGCTTGAACAAGTCTATGACAGGGGGGAGTGACAACCTCTGGTTCTAAATAACA